AAACTTCGAAGAGTTCGGAAAATATGGCATGACCGCACGGTCGCCTCGAGACCTATTAGACGGTAAACTTTCCCCAGCTTCCCTCAGTTTTCCTCAAATTCGGCTGATTCCTGTTCACAGGAGTCGGTACCCCTGATTAAACGTAGCTGGGAAAGTGAATTCGGCCACTAGGGCGCAAACTAATAAGCAGAAGGAGAAACTTAGGAGAACTCCAATCTGTCGATCAAGAATAATTATCAGGATGAATTGAGTGCTATAAAGCTATACAAGCTTTTTCGAATTTATCAAAGTATGAAGTACTCACAACATTAGTTGGTTGACGATTCAGTGTACCTACTATTTCTATCTAATATACCAAGAGTCTGTGTCACTTTTATTGGTAGGGATGGATCAAGACAAGAATCATCATTTGAACAAAAATTCTTGTATTGATGATTATTTCTTGTCTTGTCTTGAGAACTGTTTCAAGAAAACTGATAATTCCTCCATTTTACTTGATCATTTGGAATTCTCTCTCTTCGTTTCTACAAAATTAAAATATAAGTATTATTTCAATATAATTATGTGGAGTAGGACAAATCAGATGATTTGCCCCAAAATGTCACTGTGTTCAACAAATTCTTTTATCAGGGAGCCGTGAAGAAAAATCCAATACCTCCAGAAACACTTTGTTTGGAAAAATGTTCAGAGAGAAGAGATGAAGATATACCTATTGAAAAAATATCAGATTTTCACTTATATCTTTTTTTACATTCATGCAAAAAGCAGAACTTTATCGAACTCGAAAAAAGAAGTTCTTTATTGCACTTGATGCAATAAAGTTTTTATTGCACTCATCTGTCATTCTACTTCAACGTGCTGTCATCATGACAAACATTTTTTATATTCATATCGAAAATTGCACCAATTTTATTGTTCATTCACTTTCAACATTGAGGGTGAAAATAAAGTTTGAGTTGAATTGTTCGTAACGTATTAGTTCCTGTTTCAATGCAAATCGATATTAATAATAAAGTATTCAAGTTGCGTTTTTAATTTTCCTACACCAAGTGCCAGACCTCAATAAATCATTTTTTGCTTTTTGCATGAACGTAGAAGAAATGTTGTATGCAACTCGTGCAAAAATTGTTTATTGCACTCGACGTGTTGTCCAACTCGGCCTATAAACATTCGCTTTTTCCACTTGTTGCCTAAATAACTATTAAACGTTTCGTGAACGAATCTGCAGACGTTCTCAACATGGAAATGCAAACATATTCTTCTTGTTCATATAGTTTGGCATATTGGTGAGTGATCATGTTAGTACACAAATGAGTTACAGGATGTTTCCAACTATTGATCTTGAATCTATCATGAATGTTCGAAAAAAATTTTCCAAAATTGTTCTGATCCATCATTTTGTTGCCCTCTCACGACCCTAATAGCACACAACGTCCTAGGGACGTCCATATTCGGTACAATTCAAGTCCGAATGTCCCGGACCAGAAATAAGTGTACTTCGGACGTCCCACCTTGTACATCTCATGCAATGTTCGAGCAAGGACGTCCACGTAATGTCCCAGCCGGTACATCATTTCAAATGTCCTAGAAAAAACATCCCTTAGACGTCCTACGTGAAACATATTGTATAATGTCCATGCAAAGACGTCCTTGGCATGTCCCTGATGGGATATGATTTCAAACGTTCCTTTAGGGACATCCATCGGATGTCCCGAGCAGTAAATATTCTGGCATGACTTCAGATCTTATATAATGTCCTTTCTAGACAAACATGAAATGTTCCTGATGGTACATTTTTTCAAATATCTCGGCACAGACGCCCCATTCCCAGGATCGTATTGAAATCGGAATTTCCCTCAGGGACATCCTTCGAATGTCCCTTAGGGATATCCATCGGATGTTCCAATTGGTACATGAACTGTTCTCTTTCAATGTCCTAGAGATAACGTCCTACGGTCGTCCCAGTCGGTATTTTCAATATGTCCCTGCGAGAACCTTAACTTATACTTCGCCGACCAATGATTGCTCGTAGGCTATGAGTGAATGTCCTTCACGTAAGTCCATTGGACATTCTTGGGAAACTTTCTCAGGTTCTATTGAAGACCTTTCACGGACCATCAACTCAACTGATGGATGTCCTCATCAGTTATGCAATATCTGGTCCTAGAGGGACCCAGAAAAATTCAAATTCAAGAATAATACGTACGTCCCTGGGACATTCTATGGACATCCAATTGATATCCCTCAGCGTTGCTGATAGGTTGTCCTACGGATGTCCTAAGGATATCCTCCGTAGGGCTTGATGAGGGATACTGTGAGATTTAGGTATTCGATAGTTGTCCCAGGGACATCCCTCACGGACGTCCCCAGTTGGTCCTCAAGTGGGACATTTGTGCGTCCCACAGACGTTCAATGGACGTCCTGAATGTCCCGACAGGACGTCTCAAGAATATCCATGGGACATAATAATTGTGTTATTATCAACTCTCAAAAGTCTTCAAGAGACTTGTGCGAGAAAGGAATGACAGGGGTCTTACCTTCCAACGTGTGATCCCAAACACTTTATTAGGCCATCAAAAAAATTTCTGCGGTCGTGGTGGGAATCGAACCCAACTACCACTAATCCAATGTGGATAGAAACTGAAAGTTCTACCACGAGGCTACGCTCGCCATCGAATGATATGTCACAACTTGAAGATACCCATTGTTGACATTATGTCCTCACATTCATCATCCTCGCATTGATGTAGGTATACTATTTTTATTTCTTGGAATGCACGACAGAGAATCCCTATAATGTCCGAAGAACATCGTGTGAACCCAGGAAGGAAAGGGAGAGGAGGTAGGTTTTGGAATTTTTTTATGAATTTCTGAAAGTTTGAAGTTCCTGTGGATACCTACTTCCATTGACAAAGAATTTCAATGATTAGCCCTTCTATAGACGAACGAGTTCTGGGGAAGTGTTCCCGACATATTCCAAGGTTGACAAAGTATTTCGTTTTTATACCATTATTTATTTTACTAGCTGTCTGGCCCGGCTTCACACGGTTGGTGTACCCATTTGAGAAAAAAAGATATTTTTCTGCAACCGACACAAAAGTCGTCCATTTTATTACCAGAATAAGCTCTTCAATTCACGTTTCTATTACTGACACAAACATAGGTATGTTGCTGGGCAACACTTTAAGTCAATCTTTAGCTCCTATGAACTAAAAAGGATGCACTAGGTCATCAAGAATAAACAACATTTTGTTTTTATCGCTTGGAGCGCACGAAAGGTAATCCATATAATGTTCAAAGGACATCGTGCGTTCCTAGGGAGGATAGGGACAGAAGGTAGGTATTGGAATTTTTTTTGAACTTCTGGAAATTATATGTTGTTGGGAATACTTCCTCAGGCAATGAATTCCAGAGCCTTGCCGTTCTATGGATGAAGGAGTTTTGATAAAGTGCTGTTCGACATCTTTCGAGGTTGACAACAAAAGGATGTGCTGACTGGGCATGTCTAGTTCGTCTGACTGGTATTGCTAGTGAAGGGATGATAGCAGAGATTTCCGAAGAATATTTCCCGTGGAAGTATCGATAGAAAAGTGAGAGGTCGCTGACCTTTCCACGGTGTTCCAATGATGTCAAAGAGTGAGTGAGTGTGGCGTCACACACCAGGCGAATGGCTCTTCTCTAGATGAAATCTAAGATTTGAAAAAAAAAGTGATAACTACCCTGTCTGGTATAAGGCTATGTATTAGAGTGGGTATCATGAAACACCGAGCCAAGCAAAGTGGAATATAGAGAGAAATAAATAATCGCCATCATTGTTGATACTGTATAGGTATAGTATATAATGATTCAAAAGATATGAAGTGATAACTACTGTTTCTGGTATAAAGCTATAAATGAAAGTGAGTATCATGAAACATCATTACTCATTCAATGAGAATCGATAATAAGAATGAATTACTGATGCTAAACTCCATGAATCACGAAAATAACATTGGGATAGATTGGACTGAGAACATGGATTACACAGTTTTGTTGTATTTCAAGCAATCAGTCTAGGCTATACAGAGGTGAATACATCACGTCAAGAGTTGCAAGACGGAATTGAACATCGCTTGAATAACCTGACAGCTGATCCTCAACAACAAAGGAGAATAATACATTGAAATAAAAATGGGTTGAATCGCGTATCGTGGAAACAGAGGACATTTTGAGCATTTTTACTATTTAACTATCAACTGATTGAAATAAATAGTTAATTGATCTCAATAATACACAATCATGTTATTCCAGCATCAGCTACTCCATTATTTTCGAATGAAAATATCTCGAAAACGGTACACAGTATTCAGTTTTATTAATAGTACTTTTCTGGTGTTGAATTGAATGATGTTCAAGTTCACATGACATTTAGTTCGAGAAAGCTAACCTCAAAATGTTCAAAATTATTCGTTACGAACCGCGTAAATAGTGCCTTCAATGAGAGTGAGATATTAAAAAAAATTCGGATTCAGATGAAATTCATACAGAATTCCATTACAACCCATATGTTGCCAGGAGTTTCGACATAATCGTAAAAACAGTGTGGAAAAAATCAATGTTTCAACACTTTTTATCTTGCAAACAGATGCCTTCACTACTCTTATTTACTGAGGAAACCCAACTCATTTTGCAGATTTTGCAGTGTTCTACCTGCCCTAGCAAGGAGGTCATCTCTCTTTGAAACACCATGTATAAGAGTATCCAAAGTAGAAGTAGACTTGAGAAGTTTAATTGATTTCGATATTTTTGAATATAATTATCAAGGTATGTTGAATTTACAGTTCATCTGGTAGATTTCAATTGAAGTTAGCATTTGCACAATCTATCTCAGACCCCACTAAAATCAAATATTTGTGGAATCACAGATCACTATCTCAAGTTGCCTGTTGGGAGGAGCGTCAAGTCCGTATTAGTAAAAACAATGACAGACCTCAAATAGTTCACTTCGTCCTGATGAACATCCCACCCACTCAACTGTCCCAACACCCTCAAACTAGGACAATGTCCCATCAAAAGTTCCACACTGGTAGAAGTCAGAGATCTAGCACTGGAAAACCACACTTCTTCCAGAAAGTTGAAATCACATTCTGCACAGAGTCTGAAAACATCCCCATCGGTCATATTGATGTTGCATCCCACGATGATTTTCTTTAGGAAGGGAGAATTAGTCATCAGGAATCTCAAAACTCCGAGTGACATGTCGCAGTAAGACAACTCCAAGCGCTCCAAGCTCATGAAGTAAGTGTCCAAGTTGGAGAAAGTTATCCTCATCAGGAAAGACTCGAGTTCTACCAAATTAGGACAGAGCAAGCAAATTTCAGACAGGTCTAGCGAAGTGTTTTTATCGTGATTCAATTTTAATACCTCTAGTTGGGAGCCAGAGACTCGCAAGAGCGTCAGCAACTCCGACATGTTACCTTTAGTTAGTTTCAAACTATTGAGCTTCCTGAAGTTGGCTAATTTTTCGACTATTCCAGGTGCAGGACTGTCAAAATGCAAACTTTCTAATGCCGGGCACAACTTTAGGATGCTCTCCATTATTTCCATGGAGGTGTTAGTGTCGTGCAAGTACTTTAATTTGGTTTGGTGAGTCGGATTGCGATTGTAGACTGTTAGAAGGGCGTGTCCCGTGTAGGAATAGGTACGGAGATAGTTTAGATTTGGTAGATTTTCTATCAGTTCTGCTACTATTTCGGATCCGCTGGATTCTTGTTGGCATAAATCTGTTTTTCCGAAGCTGCCGATGTGTAAGACTCGAATTGTGTCACTCTTCAAGGTTCTGATACCTGAAAAGTACATTTTCTTCATTACTTTCAGATATGAAGCAGAAAAAATGTGGAATGGTGGCCATAAAGAAACTAGTGTCGATATGATCACTAGTTGCGATTTTAATCGTCATAACGCAACATCTTATTTCATATGACTACCATTATATCATTAGTTGTCGCTTTTACTAGAATGGTGCGATAATTTTGAAGTTTTGACTCAAACACTTTGTATGAATTAATTATTCTTCAGTAATTTTCTTGAAGCCACACACACAATTTCCATATGTTTCTGATTTTTTTGTCTATCAAACATGTACTTGAATAAAGGCAAAAAATCTTGAATTATTTTGTGCTGGGACGAAAAATTTTTTTCCGTCGACCTCGTATTAACGACTAAGTTTAATGTATATGAAATCGTTCATTAATGACCCCTATTAATGGACGATTTGTCTATTAATGCACGATTGTTTTATAGGCAACCAAACATACACCACGTGCATTCATTGTTTATGCTATAACTAGCGGAATCTGCATTTAAATCGAAAATATGGATTTCATCGACGATTTTCCGATAACGGGTTCGCCTTTCCAAGTTTCTGACACGATTTTAATCCCTGTTTTCTAACACAAGGAATCTATTTCCTATGATGTTGATCATTTCGACAAATGTCAAATGACACTAATGTCAGTAACAAGGCTACTGGGTGATTCTTAGCAGTTTCCGGATGGATGATGAATTCGCGAACCAAGTTTTCTTCATTGCAGGAGAAATGAGAAATATAGTCGACGGAAAAATTTTGTAACCAACTTGTATATTAAAAGGCGATAAATGATCTCGAACATTAACGCACTCGCTTCGCTCGCACGTTAAAATATCTCGATCATTAATCGCCCTCATAAATACACTAGTTGGTTAAATAACTATAAATGAAGTGAAGTGATATCTCGAGAAACTCCACTCCAGATCCCGATTTCCAATAACCTTATACATGAAGAAATAGGTGGATGTCAAGGTTTTCAATTTCCACATTTTCGAGATATCTTCTTCTAGTATTGGATCAACTCGGCTCAGATAGTGAAAAATGGTAAGAAAGGGAATCGTTAGTGAATAGAGAGTATGAATTCTTCATTTACCTGTTACGTACCACTAACTGAATAGCAAGCTTCTCCGCATATATCGAGCACTGTCAGTTTCTTCAGAGACATAATAGATTCCAGCACCTCATCATCGGCCATATGGGGTATAACGAGAGTCTCAAGCATTTCAAGTTTCCTCACCATTTCGCTCAACAATTCTGGGTAATCCCTTACCCAAACTCCTTTCAGGTTCAATCGCCTCAACCTCCTGCCTCTCTGAGAGATAACTTCCAAGATTTTCCGGTAGTAGAATTGGGGAAACATCCCAGTGTCGAGCTTCCTCACATCTTCCCTGAGGAGCACCTTGAGCATTGTGTTCAATAATGAGGTTTTATATCAGACGGTGTTGAACTCTCGCTTCGTTCATATATAGACTTCTAGTAGTAAACTCAAAAAGATGGCAACATTGTGGAGGATTGGGTAGGGACAATGAATTTTGTTATCTCTAATTTTTGTGTGTATTATCCACACATTGTTTATGTTGGTGATCAGCAGTTTATTTGAGCCAAGCGAAATATCGAACCATCCCACCCAGCAAACACGACATAGCGCGATTCAATAGCCCACCGATTTGATCGATGCTGACTCATTCTTTCGTTCAAGAAAAACAACATGTTCATTGCTCTTTCGATCATATAATACGTATATTGCACTCGCACTACACTATTTTCAAGGTATTTGGTAATCTATGGGTATTATCCATTCCACAAAGCAGTGATATGAACAGTACAGGTTGAACGATGAATAAACGATATAGGTGTCTCAATTCCATCAAGTCATCCATGATAGACAATGGACCATCAACCCATCACATGCATTTTATTGACAACATTTTTTTGACAATCGACAATTAATATGTGTTCACTAGGTACTCCATTTTGTTTTTCTATCCCTTTGGACATGAGCCGTCATTTGATATTGTGAGATGTGAAGTGGACAGGTGATCAAATAGAGATTTGTATAAGCATCACCCTTGCTTCTCAGGTAAGGAACTAGCCGTTCGATATCTGAAGTTAAGCAGTGTCGAGCGCGGTTAGTACTTAATCCAGTGAATAAAGACACATAAAGGGAGTTCACCTTACAAACGGTCCGGTAGTTCTGAATTTCTGATATGTTATCTAGGATGGTTATTGAGTGTTCAAAATGCAAAATGCACGATTTTCCCTCCTCCGCGCCCTTCGCCATATTGAAAAAACCCAAAGAAATCGGCTTTTCCTCCAGAATTTCGCGTATATCTTCGTTTTGGTGCAATTAAGCTACAAATGAACTTGATTCAATGTTGTAGAGGATTTGATTTCCTATAATTCACGTTTCAAATTCCGTTTCTAGAACTGATAGTCACGGAGATATGATTTTTTTATAAAATAAAAAAAACGCATGTTCCGGAATTTTGTCAAATACGTTCAGCGACAGTATGGCACCAATGTGATGATGATTTTTGATGACTGCACTACAGATTCTTCTCAGCAAGGGACTAAGATTGCTGAACGAGCAAGAAGGTACAAGGCAAATTCATCATCGAACGTGGTGTTTGACAAAACCACTGTCAACACCGTACCTCAGGATGAATTCCTGGTCAATGAGGGAAACAAGGACCAATTTGTTAAGCAGCTCTGCAATGAAATGCAAGCGTCAAATACAGTCACAGACCAAGCTTCCGAAGATGTTGACAGGTTGATAGTTGCCACAGCTAAATGTCTGTCCCCCACTTACGACGCCGTCATCATTGTCGGAGAAGACATTGACCTACTCGTCCTACTGACTGGCACAACACCTGCGGTGAAAAAGGTCTACCTCGAAAAACCAGCGAGAAGAAAACATCCAGACGCAATCTACTACGCCTCCTCCTACATGTTCAACTCCAAAGGCTGTATCTTGCTCCTGCACGCAATATCGGGCTGCGACACCACATTCGAGGACCCTGCTGCCAGTCCCCAATAGATTTCAGTAGCAGGGGAGAGAATCTTGGTATCCCTATATGGTGGCAGTGAAGAACAATCGTTGAGCTCCCTTCGCTATAGCAGATTGAAAACAAGTACCCTCAAACTCAATCTGGCTGAACTATCTCCGACCACTGACTTCGCACTTTTTCACTTACTGAGGACATACCACCAGGTTATTGAGTGAATGGGTAGGTTGGTAATCAATTGAAATAGTACCTGCATCTTGAGCATCGCGCTGTGCCATGTAAAAATTCGAAGAAGGATTAGCATAAACTCCGAATTCAAACTTGAACTGGAAAATGGATAGTGAATATTTTTAGATACAATATGGAGTCACAATAGCCAAAAAACAATATGCCGTTGTTTTAATTTTCATTTTCACGCCCCATTACATAGGGTTGGTGAAGAAAATTGTACATGCATTCCTGTAGGTAATTTTATTCTTTACAAATCTTTTTCTGATACTTGTCTCCCTAGAGTAGGCCATAAGTGAACTAAAGCGTTCTGAAGTAAAAGTTTGACAAATTTCCGGAGAATGCGATTTTTTACATTTTTTTAGAAGGCACATATCTCCATAACTATCAGTCCTTGGATCAAAATTCGAAACGTGAATTATAGGAAATTCGATCCTCTACAATACTTAATGGGACTCTTTTGTAGCTAAAATGCACCATAACGATAATATAAGCGAAAATCTGGAGAAAGTTCCTATTTTTTTCGGTTTTCTCAATATGGCAGTGGGCGCGGAGGAGGAGGTATTGTGCATTTTGCATTTTAAACACTCCATAATCATCTTAGATAACATATCGAAAATTCAGAACTACTGGACCGTTTGTAAGGTGAACCTCCTCTATTCACTGGATTAACTTCGTGACCATTCGAGGAAACGCCGCGTTAGCCCGTACATCTAGAGAGGATAAGCATATTATAGCTTCAGCTATCATATCAATGTATACAAGATATGGTACGGATATGTCGTCCTTCGGTGGGGACGTTATGCCGGCGGTACCGATGTCATGGATGTCGGACTCGTTAAAGATCCCTACCTCTGGTTGGGACACCAGAGGATTCGGCAAAATTTCCGGTTGGGAGTAGTGTGCTCACCGGTGTGGGTGATTTGCCTCTGTAGCAGAAGAAGGCCGACGTTAGAGAAACAAGAAAGAAGAAGAGAGTTGTATGAGTGCATTATTGTTCGATCTCATCAAATCGAAATAACGAAAATAAACTGCTGATCAATCGAACCGCATCAAGCACATTTCTGCTCTAAATTAAGCATTGAGTATTTTCGCGTAAATTCCACTTATGCGGATACGGTATTCTCTATTCGGAAGATTGAGTATATGACAGATAGACCGCTAATGGAAATACATGGTAACCTTTGGCTATACAGGGTGACAAACAAACCTTTGCCAAATATTGAAAAATTCTCCATACTCCCAATTTGATGAAGAATATTTGAGATTATTTTTCGAGCATATTTTCATAATTCTCAAGCATATTCCTCGAAATGGTTTCGCATTTTTTTTCTTATCTTCCCAGATTTTCGAGAAAAATATTGATTTTTCTAAAAATGTGATAATTTGTACTACTGACCAGAAATATTCTCATTTGTAGTACAAATATCACAGATTTTCTCTCGGATGAGTTATTGTGATCTTTATTGTATGAATTCGTATATTGTTTATACACAGAGTGTTTGGCAACAATATTTGATAGATATGATATTACAGAAAGACCGAGCACAACACATCGATCAACTTGTATAGTGTTCGAGATTGAATGACAGCAACTTTCCTTGAAGTTGCAAAAAAAACGGGAGGAAGAATATACAGAGTGATATACCAAGATGATGGAAGTTTATACAATGGAACCTTGAGAGTTCAAAAACGTATGAGATCAAACAATGAATTCTTACTTATCTCTCTTACTCTCACTAATCATTGGGATGTTGCTCAGTGTTGAATATACGAGGTGATTTACAATAACCTGCTTATTTGCCTAAATGAAAATTCTGGTGAAGATGACTTTGTTCACTCAAAAAGTGAAACAAGGCAAGAACTGAGATGTATTAATTGAAAACGATGAAACAATAAGCACTGAAATGGAAAAAAAATATTTTTCAGTATTTGGTAAGTTCCCCTCGCACCCTCAACATTTCTTGACATCTTCGCGGCATATACTCTCTATGGAACTCCTGATGAATTCATGTGGAATGCGCTCTCATTCCTCTTCAATGGCAGTTATCAGTTGATCGATATTCTTGATTGGATACAATCTCGATCGTATTTGTTACCTCAAAAGTGACCACACATGTTCAATCGGATTACAATCGGGTGACTTGGGTGGCCATTCTATACGATTTAAGTTGAGTCTTTGCAATAACTGGTTGGGGACTCATATTTTCTTCCCTGTATCGTACATCAGATCTCGACCATCAGAATGGTACAGGTTCATCCTGGATTCTTCTGTGAATAAACAGTTTCTCCACATGTCAATTCCCCAATCGGCATTTTGTGGACCCCATAATCAACGTGCAGCACGGTGCTTATAGGCTTTAACAATGTTCATTCTTCAAAATTTCTATACAGAGAAATAAACAGGTTATTGGGATTCACCCCTTATATTCTACATTGAGCAACATTTCACTGATGAGTGAGAGTGAGAGAGATGAGTAAAAATTCTTTGATATATCACATATATTCTTGAACTCTCAAAGTTTCCTTGTATGAAACCTTCCTCAATCTTGGTATATCACCCTGTATATTCTTCAACTTCAAGGAAAGTTACTTTCATTCGATCTCGAACACGTTACAAGTTGATCAATGTATTGTGCTCGGTGTTCCTGAAATAATATTTATCAAATATTGTTGCCAAACACTCTGTATATAAACAATATAGAATTTCATACAATAAAGGTCACAATAACTTATCCAAGAAAAAAACTCTGATCATTGATCTACAAATAAGAATATTTCTGGTCAGTAGTACAAATGCTCACATTTAAAAAAAAATCTCGAAAATCTAGAAAGATAACAAAAATTGCGAGTGTCGAATTCTGAGCAAAAATGTGCTTCATTCGGTTCGATTGATTAGCAGTTTAGTTGTATATATATATATATTCTGATATTCTTTTTTGAGAACTTGATATGTTATAGTATCTCTACCAAGAATTTTCAGTCCTAATCTGGTTATATCTCAGATATGAGTGTTTATTTCCACCTGACTATTGTTGGAGCATCAGGCTTGGTAATAATCATGATTGATAATTCACTTGAAATTCACAAATAAATCATTTCAGATACCATATGAGATATTCTCAAGTTTGAGCCATGTTCCAGGTATCCAAGATCGCAAATATCAATAAACAGAAACAGAATTCATGAACTCTTGACTGTGTGATCAGATCAGATGTGGATATATACCTGAACACGAGAAGTTTCATTGTAGTAATCATTATAATTATCACTATTATTATTACTATCATTATTATCAGTAGAAAATTATTTTCTTCACGTGACCTCGAATTCCGCTGTATAAGAATAAACCAGTTTTCATTGGGAATGCACAAAAAATACGTCAGTCAGTCATCACTGGGCCAACAATTAACAAGCAATAAATGGAAGTACGTACTGCTTTGTCAATTTTGGTGTTGAGTCGGCCAGTGAGCGACTTTTGTGATCCACCATTGGAATTAAATTCCAATATTAAACCAATGACATTGCTTCAAAAGTGATGGTCCATGTATATATGTTTGCTGGGAAGGGTTTGGCGGAGATAATTTGGTTAGTTTTGAAACTTGAAATCGGTACTTATGCATTGCAGATTCATTCTTAATCAATAAATACTGCACTCACTAGACGAAATATAATTTCATTTCAACCTCAATCACATTTATTCAAATATGCTCTCTAAGAGATTCAGTGTACTTAGACTGGCACTGTCGAGGGTAATAGTGGTTGGCGTAACAATATCAACATCGATAACGGTTGGTAGAACAGCATAATTATTCAACGTATTCACTATCAGATACGAAACTGATGAATTCACAGGAGATGTTTAAAGTGATTGCCATTGCTTTCTGATGCATAATATAACTGTTGAATTTAAAACATTATTCAGTATTTCTAGCGTTATTCTCTGAAATGCTTCGAGAACCAGTATTCTGAGTTCTACATCTGATTCGGAGGCTCACTCATGACCAAAGTTATGGACAGATTTCTAGACAAGAAAGTCTAGCATGGTCACATCGGGTGAACGAGCTGGCCAGAGATAGTTTCAGAATTCGTGCTAATCACTCTTCTTGTGAACCTGAGTGAGAGGTGATCACCAGCAGATCTTGAGTTATGTGCAAGAGCATTATCCCGGTGAAACTAACAGTTATTCTGAACCAAATCCAGTAACAAACTGCCCAGAGCTTCCTCTATATCATTTTGAAGTGAAGTCAAATAACTCTTACACAGAATCATGAGTGATGCAGGTTCATATTATATTATCAAGAATTACTTGATGGTGGTTAAAATAAAAACCACAATATTCATCACATTGTCGAAATCAGAATTTCGTTGAATCTGATATCAAAACATCTGATGATAGTTGCTCGAAGACGAAACGCTATATCAGAAATTCGATGACGTCAAATTGAGTAACATCGAACGTAGTCAGTCTTGTCCTTACTTCATTATCAACGTCAGAAAACATAGAATCACGAATCTAAAAATGCTATTCCTTTAAAATATCTCAAAAACGAAAAGTTATACCGAAGATTCTTGTTGATCATTCTGTTGGTCCTCCACTCGCGGAACTTTTCTCTCATGTAACCAAATCTGTAATTCTCGTAGTTTCCAATATGCACATACTTATCTCACGTACGGTGTATATTGAACCAAAATCATGGTGATGCTTGAAAAACGAACACAATCTTTGATAAAGAAATATCGAATTTTCTAGATGATGAGAATGGTGAATCATTTGAATGGAACTTGCTACGAGGTTTTTTCTTTATCTTGAACCAACAACATATTTGAAACAAGAAAATGATAAATTCCTATTGGATCAAGAGTATGGTGATCAATCAATCACGGATCAAAATCTCCAAATAACGTATGAATTCTTGAATGAAGCAATAAATATATGAAATCATTGATTTCAGAATATACTCGTTCCTAGAATATTTTTTTCGAGTAACAAAAACATTCCCATGCAAAGTTATTCTCAGTGACTAAATATATGATCTTGTAATGAGATTTCCTTTCAGTTTATGTAGTAGATTGCGAATAATTTAGCAGGAAAGCTTTCCATCCATTCCTCGATACTTCCAAAACTATCAGAGAATATAACCAATCATGCATCAACTCAATGCATAAGTACAGATCTATCAAGTACCTCTACTATCAAAACTGATGGAATTAGCAATTCCGTCGAGCATCACAATTTCATTGGCCTACCTCCAAACAATTGAAGCGCGTACTGGCGTCGAGACTTAGCGAATTCAGAATGGAGTTCAGTAAGTCCTCCAGAACTTCGTAAGTAGCTCCCGCTAAATATTCAGAAACCGCTCCGAAATATTTTCCTTCGTCGTCACATAAGGCGGAAATCACTAGTTCGCTGATTGTTTTCAGACACATGCGACTTAGATGTTGGACAGGGTTTTTGGGAGACATCGAATTTGCGTGGAAAATCAAAACACTGAACAGCTATACGATGTGACAATGAACGAGAACTGGCCATGGATGTGGTAAAATTAGATTCTCTGGCACTGATCCTTCTAAAATAGCAATGCCTACTCCTCATTATTAAAACATGTGTTTATGATGGTGTACAATCCTATGATGTATTGAACTGGTGGAATATTTCTTCATACATTTTTTGTTTCTTGTTGTTGACATTCTGCTACCTGAAGATATCTCGTCTCGCATTTACAAGAAAAATCTGTTTCGTCGCGAAATACGTTTTTCCTGATGAGAGAAATATTTCTTCGATCTCGTCTCAACTTATCTCATCTTTTGTCGACTGGCTATTAATGAAAATTATGAAATCATTCGAATGATCGAGTGGAGTACATCATATATATATTCAGATAATTCACCCTCATATTGAATAAAATTACTACAGCCGCGACTACTGACGACTTTCTGAAACCAATATTTTTCAAAGTTCCTACAAAAAATTCAAACCAACATCATCGTGTACCACTCTGAATGGAATTCCTCTATAATTCAGTTATTCGTTATGTGATTGTAACCAAATTAGCCAAGTGCAGTATATTGACAATCAAAATGATACGTATTCTGCGTGCTTCTTATTGAGATAAAAATGAGTCGATTTTTCATGAACCCATATCAGTCATATCCCAATTGGATAGTAATTGCATATTATAGTTCTTCGTGGTTGTGAAGCCATGCTTCTGGAGTTTCACATAATTTCTAGAGAGCGTTTGAAAAATACGAGCATTTACAGGCTGATTCAAGGTGGAAGACACATTAGACGTTTCTGGAGAACGTAACTTGGGATAATCTGAAAATTCGATGCCTCGGACAATCAGTTGTGCTCTATCGACCTAAGATATTCTCAGCACTGCGCCGTTAACGCTTATATTCAAAAGTAGCAACAACTTTGATATTTTTCAAATAGGACACCTGGTATATCAATCCATTTCCAGATTTTCTCTGGAGAGCTGATTACACTGATCTAGCAGTGACAATGACAGAGGTATAGGGTGTGAAAAATCGAGACTTTTTACCTTTAGGATTTTTTTGAGTCGAAACTATTTATAATTGGACGAAACGGTTCTCATGTCCCTATCTCAACTTTTTATTTACTATCATTTGATATTTAATTGAAATATGTATAGGGTGGTTCAGAGTCGGGATTTTCAACCACCCTGTATCTGTTTCAATCAAATATCAATTGATAGTAGATAAAAAGTTGAGATAGTTTCGACACAAAACAATCCTGAAGTTGAAAAATCTCGATTTTTTACATCCTATATTTTCGTTAATATTTCTGCTAGATCTCAAGGGTAATAGATCGACGGAATCAGCTCTTTTGAAAAAATCAGAAAATGAAATAATATATTCAAAAAATCGAAAATGTTGCTACTTTTTAATATAAGCGGCAACGTCGCAGTGCTGAGAATATTTCAGGTCGATTTTCAGTATAATCCAACGTTGCGTTCTCCAGAAACGCCTAATTTGCCATTCACCGTGAATCAGCCTGTATATTATTGCGCTGCTATGATCATGAACCCGAACAGGTCAACTTTTGAGTTAAAAACCCTTTTTTATTGTTCAAATGAAAATTTTCAACTACCTCTCAACCCTACAGATCTACCCTTTCCGAATTTTTGGACTGTATAAGGAGACAAGTTCTACCTTGTGGAAGAGGTATTCCAAATCTCTATAATATACAGCCTTTTATTTTTTATTCGGTTGAGCCATATCTTCAAGGAAGCAGTTGAAAATTTCGAAATAAATTCATAATTTTGATCTGAATATTGGTTAATAGTAGACAATATTTCATAGTGATACTTGTACAGTTACGTTGCCTAAAGTTATTTTAATATAATAGATATACGTAACCATTTTTTGAATCATCGAACTTTGAAAATTATAGGTTAGCGATTTTGATCGAATCAGATTCTTATCTGTCATTAAAACATCAAAAGTATATTTATCAATTTAGTCAAAGAAAGAATTGATACGAGAATCGAAGCAAACAGCAAAACTTCATTTGCTAGTTATTCACAAAGTTAAAAGAGGCAAAATTTGCATTTCCCAAGTATCCCATGAATTCATGGCACCTTGGAAGCAAAACCAGAATAATTAAGAAATGAAATTTTTTCCGTCTCTACTTTGTGAATATTTATAATCATGGCCTATTCATGTCTGCTCTGGTTCTGACATCGATTCTTTCAAAAAATTGGTTTACTAAATTGTTGATTGAACTTTTGATGTTTCAATAACAGATAAGAATGTGTATCGATGATAATGATCAACCTAAAATTTTCAAATTTCAAAAATTAAAAAATGGTTGCAAATATAGATATAAATGTTCGAATAAATATGTTCGTGTTTCAATTTTACATCAATTGGTCAAATAATATATGGGGTGTTCCATTTGGAAAACTCGAGAAAAATCACTTCGAAAAGTTCCGAATTGAGAGATCATTTTCAGCCACCCTGTATCATTTGAGAGCCTGAAACATTTCTAGAAATGTCACTTATCTGTCCAATAAATGATATTGAGATTACTTTTTCTTATAGTTTATAATTATGACAACAGTGATATTTTCGGTAGGCATACGCAGATGACATTATTTCGACCAAAAAATTCATGACTTTGATACAAAAAAGATATAGTCAACAATATTATTGAAGTGAATGAAGATCACAGGTATGCTTAAAAAAATATACAAATATACTGGGCATTCCGATTAAAAAAATTGATCCCGACCCTCTAGATTATTTTTGGTGCGCCCTGTATATGCGACAATAATTTCTAGTTATGGACCTCGTTATCTCATTCACATTCGTTTTTCAATCAGGTTTCTAGCTATCATAGAACTCGAGCAATCGAGCTCCGACGCCCAAATGCCCCACCCTGTATATAAAGAAATACATTGAGAATTCGCGAGTTCTAGTAATTCTAATATGATCACACGAATCCTCACATGCGTGCGTTAATGATGTCTATATCCCACTTTTTACGTAAATACCTATTATATACGTCATATTGATACTCTTGTTTGAGATTTAATATAACCATCCGTTTTCGAGGAAAGCGCAATTGAACATTTCGGAGGAAAGAAGTGGATTTCAAATATCATTTCATTTCTGAAATGTGTGCTTTGGACTGTCAAACCTTTTGCGATTGAAACGCCGTGTTTCTTTTTCCACAGCAACATTTCATGAAGGCTTTTATTTGGTCCCATCGCCATATTTTGGTCCAAACAATTCGTCCCAATAGTCATGACCCACCCTGTATATGCTTCCTCATATTGGTGTGGGTTGAATTAAAACAACGCGATAACTCTCAGCAAACATAATTATGGTATACCTCGTGAACCTCGTTACGAAATTTCGTCAGAGATATTTATATAGACAATATACAAATTTCGGAACAGTGCGATGGCGATATCTTATCATACTAGAAATTCATTATGACTGGAAACGTCACCGTAGCCGGTAGCTGATAAGGTTCTCGCTGCCTCAAATAACGAATCAGTGTCAGTAGCAATGTCACGAATACCTCAACACGTCCTAAACAACCTCAAGTGCTCGATTTGCGGAGGTTACTTGAGCTCCAAGCCGCTGATGGTGAAACCTGACGATCAACAGGTAGGGTTGGCATGAGTCATATTCCCAAATGATCAGTGATCTTCAACCAATCAAATTGGGAGACGAATCACCATACCAACGTATGTATTTCAGTGGACATTTTTTCTCTTGGGTATTCATCAGTGAATTACCAGTGTAAAGACTTCACAAACAATCAGATTCCCACAAAATTCTTATACACACAACATGTTTCGCTAACACAGTAGCTTCGTCAGGTGATATACTGGTACAATAAACTAAACCAACGTTGGCTTGCTTAACTTCTATATATCCTACTTTCCCAACTTGGAAGATTAATTACCTGTGGACAGGATCGATAAACCTCCATTTTCGGAAATTAGGCACAATATCTTCATTAAATTACGGCATACCGGATTAATTTGAAAGGGTTGATAGCAAATAAATAATATTACCTACTAAGAACAGTGGTGAACTATCGAGGTCTAATTGATCGTTGAGTAGAATGTAAAAATTTTTGAGTTTGTTGATCTCTCATGATTCAAAATGATTGAGTCTCATTCCTTCATTTTCTACATGTAGAATTTCGAAGTTATCATCAAAACTATGGTTTCCTTCTAATATATGGTTAGCGAATGTTGAATTCGTTTTCTTTTTCGAAGAATTCATCTTATGTTCATGGATGCGCTGATCAAACGTACGACCTGTCTGACCGATATATACCTTAGAACAAGATCCACAGTTGTATACCCCTGATTTTCCGAATCCAGAAGTTTTGTCTTCATTAATTTTGATAAACCTTCCGAACGTGTTATTTGTTTTAATGCAGATATTGTGCCTAATTTACGAAAATGGAGGTTTATCGAACCTGTCCACAGGAAATTATTCCTCCAAGTTGAGAAAGTAGGATTTATAAAAGTTGAGCAAGCCAACGTTGGTTTAGTTCATTGTACCAGTATATCACCTGACGAAGCTACTGTGTTAGCGAAATATGTTGTGTGTATAAGAATTTTGCGGAAATCTCATCGTTTGTGAAGTTCTTATATTTGCCATGGATATTCAGCAAGTAACAGCCGAGTCAATTAAAAAAATTACCAGTGTGTTAAAATTTGGTCCACCCCACTCCTGTACTCCCGTATTCCTAGGGCGATTTCGATTTTTTTTTCCTCATAATATACTACTAAAAATGTTTCACTTCGTCGATCAAACAAAAATTATCGATCGCAATTTCTTAGCCTACTATTCTCGTTACTATATATGATGACAAAAACTCCAGCAAGATTGAAGAGAACGGATAGGGCATAAAAAAAAATCATGATGGCAATCGATTCGGACTAGTCACAAATAATTCTATATCAATTTTCGATACCATATCTCATAAGGAGTGTTTTCATCAACGTTCCAATTTTTGGATAAGTACATTCGCAACATGCATCGTGTATGATAATTCTCAGAATTTGATGGTAGTGCTCATTTGTTTAAATTTCGAAAATGTTTACAAAGAGAATTTGTTTCCAAAATTTGAACGTTCGATTGCAACTTTCAGTCCTTGAAATTTCTTGACGGTTCATAACGGGTGCCAGGATGAAGCCAAAAATATGGAACAAATGAATATCCATAAGGATTTGGTGGCATGATACGCATGCGCCATGCGCTATTATAGTAGTCGTCAAAGATTTGCGTTTCGGTGGACAATGACGTTTACTAGCCTTTCAATCAAAGCAGTATGTGTCTGATCGTTTCAAAACTTTTCCTTATGGATAGTCATTTGTCTTCAAAAATCGGCTTCATGTTTCGCTATGGAAACAGATAGAGATTATTCGTATTGATTATTAATACGTATATGCCAAGAGCAGGCTGCAAATTTCGACCATCATCTGGATAACGAAACGATATATTATTATGTACTAAAGGCATGTAGAACCATTGTGGTTTATCAAACAGCACCTGTGCCAATCACTATCCTGAGCAAAATGATTGAAGAATTGCACTTTTCTGTGCGGAAATTTGCACTCGATATTTCGATTGGAAAACGAGATAAGAATTATGCCATCTGATACCAATTTGATGGTAGATTCCACAAACTCACCTATGACACTGTCCAGTCTGGGACAAATCCACGAGACAGCAATTCATTTGCCGCTATCATTTCGGACACCTACTTCCGTCGTGTGATGACAAGTTGAGACTAGGAGCAATTGGAAGGGGATGATTTCGTCTTCGTGAATATCTAAACATGCCGCGGTTCAAACTGATCTAAGTTAGTGGCAGAGAGTCAATACATCGGAGAATATGTCACCCTCCTCTAGAGACAATATCCGATGGACCAGAATGCAACTCAACATGTGAATCAGAATACTTGTAGTCAGAGCACCACGTGAGTCTCGCACTGGTCCATCGGATATTATCTTTCAACGATGGTGAAATATTCACGGACATATTGATGCTCAGCCACTTACTCATCAGATTAGTTTGAATCGCAGCACGTTTGAATATTTGCAGAAGGGACATTTCCTTCTCTCATTCGCTATTTGTTTCAACTCGTAAATACGAGACGGAGGGGTGGTGAGTGCAATTCTTTTATTATTTTGCTTATGATAGTGATTGGCACAGGTGTCGTTCGATGAACTACAATGTTTTTACTTTAGGTTGGGACATATCGATACCATATTTCAATAGTGTACCATCTCAAGAATCGTAGTTTCGAGAAAATCGCGATTGGGAATTCAACTCATAATAATTTGAATCTAGTTCTGTAGATTATGTCTCGAGAATATAAAATGATAGCCCTGCGGAAGTTATCTATTAACTCCCATAAATGAACAAATTAAAAAAAAAAAACTTTTGGGAAAAAATGATTTTGTTCGGACTTGTTACACTAATGATCTGAATTATATAATTGATAATATAACGCTATGTGATCAAGAATCGTCATCTTTATCAGATTAGAATGTATCATAATTACAATCACTATACAGGAACAATGGGCTTATATCACAAAAAAATTTTATTCCATAATTCGATAGAACTCACCCAAACTAGCTCACCACCGCAAACCGTTTATCGCTGTGAGCTCCCCCGTTTTATAAAAAATTATTGAAATCCCCGATTTTTCGGACCTCTAAAAACGAGGCGATGATGTGACGTCAAAACCCTAATAATGAAACAGGACTTTTCCAGACAGAGATGAATGATACATGATTTCTGGCAGATTGAATTAGCGCGAGATCACAGTTGAAAGAATTAATATATATCAGTTGCCTCAGTCTCCGTCCGGCGTTTGGTATTTTTTCTACTCCTTACTCGGTAAGTACTTCATTTTGATACTGATTTGAGGGAGGAAAACACGTTCTACCTCCCTAGGGAGGTAAGTAAATATTTACCTCCCTAGGGAAGCAAGTTAAATAAACTTCATAATTTAACCTAAAAATTGAACTCTTTATTTTAAATTAACATTTATAGTACAATTTGAAAAATTACAGTTTGAAAAATGTGGGGAAACCTCTTGCAGCTGTTTGGACACTTCTACTGTTGTGCTTATGTTATCAGAAATTCTTGTTACAGCGCTGGTCAATGTGGTAGGCAGATGAATAGCAGATGAATTTGAATCGCTGTTATTCTTGTTATAAAGAATTTTGTTTGCCACCTCGTTCTTATTGCAAAGACTATCAGCAACATAACCTTCAGCAACCGTCTCCGACTTCCAGCCCCCATGTCTTTTAAGAGCTAAAACACTTGAACCAGTGTTAGCTAATAATGTGGCAGACGTTCTTCTAAACGAATGGCCGGTATAAGCTTCAGCGTTAGGCAGTCTGAGAAATTTTGCTATTTTTGTGGGAATAGCTGAAAAGGTGTTCTTTCCCACAGGCTGATTCAAGCATTTGCCTTCTTGGTATCTCAAAAAAAAGCGTTGTTGGGATCTTTCAACCAACGATCTTATTTTGAGATATCTTTTAAAAATGTTTAAATGGCAGATTTTACTGTCTTTGTCTGCAGTGATGGTGAATCTTCTAGATGTACCATTTTTTGAATCAGGTATATTGATTATAATTAAATTTTCCATTTCCTGGACATTCTCTACACTCAGATCGCATAATTCTTGTGAGCGGCATGCTCCAGCAATCCCGACGACCATCACTACCTTCATTAATAAAAAACTTCTATCGTCGGCTTCTGTCAAAAATTTTTCTATTTCTTCTCGCGTGAAAACTTGAGACTTCTTTGGCTTATAGCCATCATTTTTTCTCTTCAAAAACGCCTTTAGTTTAAGGAATTTGGAAATGTCTACATTGTCTTGAATGGATAACGTCGATTTTAGCATCGAATACTCACTCCATAAACTTGCAGGGGACTTTAGGGTCTGTGACTTCTCTACAAAGTACGCCAGCAAAGAGTTCTCGGTAATGCTTTCACCACTTGCAATATTACTGCACCAAGCCTTGAAGTCCTTGTAACACCGATTGTACCGTTCCTTCGATTTCTGAGGTAATAGAGCAGCACAAGCTGCATTCGCAACTGCATCGATATCCATTATTTCGATTTTTTTAATAAAATGACACTGACAGAACATTTGTTTGATTATAAACAATATGAATTCCATAGCGATCAACGTGTAACACTAGGAAACCTGTCATACATACAGGGTTTTTCAGTTAGATTAGTCAAATTATATAAGTAATTGAAAAACATTTTTTTTTAATCTAAGGGAACTGGAGTAGAAAAAATATAATACAAAACTCGGGAGGCAGTGTTCTTGACCAGTCTCGGACTATTTTGCAAGCCCTCGCTATCGCTCGGGCGCAAACAATGTCCTCGACTGGTAAGTATCACTTGCCTCCCTTGTAGTGTAAATAACTATTCTTTTAACTATGGCGAGATGAGGTTTCTACGTCATAAGAGGGTCCGTTTTCAGATGGTACTATTATTTATGTCAAAAAATTGAACATTTCAGTAAATTTTTTGATCGAATTATGTCGTCAATCATTATTTATGTATGAAAGGATCATCATAAACATGGTTTGAGTTGAAAGTTCTACCAAGTG